GGGCTTGTGGTCTGGTTAGGGGGGTCCTAGTCTGGTGGCTGGGTCTAAGGTGGATGTTGGGGGGGACTGGTGCCCGTGCCCTGTGGGATGGCGAACGCGCTGCCGGCAATTCTGGCGGCAATTCTCGCGATAATTGTGTGTGCGTGTGTGTGTGTGTGTGCGTGTTTTTTTTTGGATTTTTCCTCCCTGCTGTTCTCGCTGTCCCAGTGCATGGCGCGTAGGGGGGACAGGGAAAAGTGCAGCGTGGCTCACGCCTTGCGTGCAAGCAGGCGGCTGCTCGGCGGCGTGTTTTGCCTTCGGGCATCGGCCAGAACCTCGTGCAGAGGTGCATCGGGCCCACCAGCACTGCTCTCATGGCCAGGCGGGGGATCAAGGAAGGACGCAGCGAAGGCTCGCTGCGCCGCAGTCGCCAAGATGCTGCTCCACCGCAGGACCCTTGCAGCTCTCGCTGGTACACGGAGGCCGGGACGTCAGCCGTGTGGACGCGAGCGAGCAATCGGACAAATATCGTGGCTTCTGGGGCCCACCGGCCTCCGACCTCAACTCCGAAAACCACAAAGCGGCTGCGCCGCGCCTGGCCAAGTTCAGGGTACGTGTGGCGTCTCTTGCGTTGGGAGGCGAGGGCCAAGGCAACGCCAGGTCGCGGCTCCGCCCGTGCGCGCGGCTGCCCGTCACGGCCCACAGGGCTGACAATGGTGGCATCAACGCATTGCAAACAACTTCATGCGTCGGGCATCTTGGATTGGCACGTCAAGGTTCATGTCTGCCAGCCGCACGTTTTGTGCGACCCGTGTGCCAGCACTGTGCCAGCCTTTTTTGCACAACCTGGCCAGCGCACGCTCCAGGGGGATGGCCCGTGAGGCAAGAACACCGGCTGTAGCGCATGCTGCCCGGTGGTCGTCCAGGGCATCCAAGTGCCGCCGACACGTGCAGGAGCGCAAGGTGCGAGAGGCAGAGGCAAGCGCGCAGCAGAAGGACGCGGAAGTGAGCACTGGGGACAACAACATCATCATCATGCGTCGGGCATTCTGTGCTTGTTGGTAAGGTTTCGCCGCGAAGGCGGCCGTGAAAGGGTTGATAGCTTCGGACGTTTGATGTTTTGCACGGGGGTGGGGGTGGGGTGGGGCTGGGCAGGAACGTACGTTGTTTTGGTGCATCATGTCCCGCCCACAACAACGGCAAGCTTCCTGCAGAGCCTCGTAGCTGTATGCGGCTTGAAGATGGATGCTGTGCTCATGTGTCCTTACGGAAGTCGCGCATTTATTGACACTTCGGTTTTATCGTTGTAGAAGCGAATGCATGCTCAGTTTTTTTCCTTTCGCGGTGTTACAGCGGCAGTTTTAGATGATTTCGTCGCCGTCAAAAAAGGAGTCGAGCATGGCCTGTTGAGCAGTTTATATGGGAAGTATGCCGGTTTCGAGGTTTCAAGGGTTATTTTAAAGAATGCTTTGCCAGAGCATGGTTTTCAACAAATCAAGGGGATGTAGCGCGGGGGCATGTTTAAAATTCTTGCATGCGCCGTCTGCTTGATATCTCCTTTTTGTCGGCGTTAGGGGTAATGGAGCGAAAAGGAAGACGACCCACGCAACAATGCAAAACAAACAACATACGGAAACACAGATTTCCAGAGCGAGAGCGCGCGTTTTTTTTTGTTTGGCAGCGAAAAATAAACATCCGAAATCGCGCGGGGACCAAGGCGAAACAGGCGAAACTGATCATGCTCGTTGGTCCGCAGAAATCAGAATTGTCAAACAACGCGTCGCATTTCTGACCTTCAAAACATCGCCGTGCAAACATTAGTGCGATTTACCACATGACACACAAAAAAAAAAAATGACCATAAAAGAAATCACAGTGTTTCCAAGCCCCTTTGGCGAATTTTGTTTTTTGATTGATTTGTAGCTGTTTTTGTTTCCACGCATTTTAAGCGGATCAGCGTTGAATGCCAACTAGAAGTTTCATTCGCATGTTTTCCATCCATGCTGTTTGGGGTTTGCGCAGGTATTATACTGTTGTCAGAATTTCCAGCATTGCTCGTCATGTATCAACTTTTCTCTCAAAATCATTTTTTTTTTTTCCTCGGCCTTTTCCGCCTGCACGATGGTATGTCCAGTCGGTTCCAAGGCCCCCAACGTTGTGCCGCAGGCTGTGGCCGCTTCATGAGCGGGCGGGCAGGCGGCTGGCCGGCACATGGAAGGTGTGGCGCGCGTCCGCCAGCACGTCTGCCAGGGGCGGTTCCGTGCCATCGCACTCATCCGCCATATCCAGTGGCAGTTCCAAGATAGACCATGCCAAGGCCCGCTGCGCGGCCACCGCCAACATGCCCGCCCAACGGTGGCTGGTTGCCTGCCGCGCCGCCGCCCGGAGGCGGGGCGGCGCAGCGCGCGCCTTTGAGGCAGCCATGCGGCGGAGGAAGTCCGCCAACTCGGCGCCAAAACGGCCACCCAAATCAGATTTTGTCAAGTTTCATCATGGTCCTAATTTTCTTTGTTCCATTCATTTTCATCAGGTCCATACTTGTCATGATTTATCATCATATGTTCGTAGAGTTTCGTGTTTTTCCCCCTCCCCCCCCTCCGTCGCTCCTATGCTTCTCTCCTCCCCGCTCGACCCCCTCCTCAGCCCCACGCCTCCCCCCACCTACCCTCCACCACCCATTCGCAACTCCTGTGCAGCTTGGGGATGGTTGGGGAGTTTGTGGAGGAGCGTTATCGCTTTGATTTGAGTAGGGGCGCCTGTGCAAGGAAACGCGTTCGAATGCTTGCGCAACAGACATAGTTCCCAATGTTTACCGCAATGGTGTTGATGCTTAGAACACCAGCCAGTTGACAACATTCAATATTGGTGTTTGGGTTTAGTGTTTGCCCACGGCCGCAATATCCTATGTTAGCCAGATTTGTTCGAATGCCCAAGCACTGGTATCATTACACGTGCTTGGTTGTTTACCATCGTTGGCGTGATTGACTCCACGTGTATCTTCATATCATGAGAACTTCAAAGTGCGTTTCTGCATGCCCCTGTATTGAAGGCACCATACCCATTGCAGCTGAAAGGTGTGTGGCAATGTGACAACAGTCCTACCCGCTTTTAGTGTAGCCTGTATAGCACGAGCAGGCCAAGCATGTTGGCGCTTCTGTTGGCCCAAGGTTTTATTTTACGGGATGGCAGCAGGTAGTGAAGTCTCTGATGAAGACTCATTGGCAAAATGTGGGTGTTAAAATTACATCAACGGCAACAAAGTTGAGTTTCTGCATCTTTCGATTGTGAAAGAACCGGTCTGAACGTGCCTCTTGTCAGCAAATAAGCTTTTAAGGTAGTTTGCGTAGACAGACGTGTTTTTTTTTGTACAGCTGTGACACGATGTCACGGAAAGCCCGCGTGGATTCTGATGAGAAATCGAGCTGGGACCGGCCTCGGTATTATGTGTTCAATGCAGGATACGGGCCTGTGAAGCCACATCATGTTGTCGGAGCACGTCCAGAGAATGGGGAAGTCGTGGTTGTGCTGCACCTGCCGGAAGGTAGCCTCGTACAACCGCAGCAGGAGGACCATGCGATTTGCAAATTGATGTTGCCTTACATGCAGAAATTGTTCATGACAAATGGGCAAGCTTCAGCTCCACGAGTAGTTGTCATTTTGGATTTGTCGCCTGCATGCTCTAGCATGTCGGAGGGCATTTGCAAAGTCTTGGATGACGAAGGGGCAGGCGAGAAATTGGGCAAGGGGCTTGCCACCAAAATGGCGCGTGCCGTTGAGCGACTGTGCTTGCATGGCGCTACGTTAGTGGCTGCTGAAGGTGCAGTTCAGCTTGCATTGAAAATGCTCAGCAGCTCCCGGATCCTTCCTGGAGCTATCAAAAAATTGGTGATGCTTCATCCTCGACTACCGGCCTCCTGCATCAACTACACCTTGACCCCGAAATCAAAGTATTCGGAGGATTTGCAGGTCATTTTTGATTCAGAAAATAGCCAGCAACGGCGACTTGCAGTTCTGGAGGGCGCTTTCAGGAGCGTGACGTCTCAAGTGTGCACCACCGCTTCTTCTGCAATGTCTCTGGCTTTGCAGATCTCAGAAGATACAGAGCTTGGCCACAGTGAATCTGGCGAGTCATTGTGGATTTCTGAAATGACGATTGAGCTCGACCGGAGGTCCAAGCAACCAAGGGCAGAATTAACAGACATCACTGCGGATGTCCAGGCTCCCGAGCCAGACTCAGCAGATGAACCTGCAGACGCGGAGTCAGTTGGTACCGGTACAGAAGTTGCAGCGCTAGTCCTGCGTGGATGTCGTTGCTTGTTGGTTCGGAGTTTAGCTGGAGAATGGAAAGGCATGCGCATTCCCAGTGTAGAGGCCAACGAGAACGAAGATTTGGTGAAAACAGCACAGCGATGCATCGAGGAACTTTGTGATGTAGAAGGTTCAGAGATTGAGCAGCTGCAAGAGATTCCGCCCATCCCCCTTTTCAAAGGGCACCGATGCGTGAACGTGATTTGCTTCAGGGCCGTCAACCCGCCAGCAGGTGCTCTGGAAGATGCGGATGTTTCTGATGATGAGGACAGGGTACCTTTTGCTTTTCGAGGAGAAGGGATCGGCATCCTATACTTTCAAATGGGGTTTATAGATTTTATAGTCGATCATATATCCTCTTGCGTGCAGAACCTTAAGAGCACCCTAGGTGAGCATGATGTTTATCATGCGAATTTTTCCACGCACCCTTTTGCATCTGCCAAATGTGTCCTGGTTGGCGGCTGTTCCCCCAGCACACCCCTGGAAGACCAGTCCCATGATGAGGACCTTTATGATTGGTACACCTGGCCGCGGGCTTTGCGCGCACTCCAAGGGCGAGAAAGTGAAGTCCGTGCTTTGCACGCTGCTGCCATCGTTCTCGGAAATGCCTCCGTTGCGGGCATTGTTGGTCCAGAGTTCGGCGGTGTGTTCGGGCAGGAATGGACGGGGACCATGAGTTTTCTGCCCAAAGATGGACAAGACAAAGCTGGAACCTTACCAACAATCACGGCAGCGCCTGAGGAAGTGAAGGCGCCGGCCTTGCCCGAGAAGAAACTTCCGGTGAGCGTCTTGTCGGGCTTCCTTGGCGCTGGTAAGTCTACTCTGTTGCACCATCTTCTGGGAAACAGGGATGGCATGAAAATTGCATGTATCGTCAACGACATGGCATCTGTGAATGTTGATGCTATGCAGCTCGAGGGGGCTAAACTGTTGCACAAGGATGAGACAATGATTCAGTTGTCGAATGGTTGCATTTGTTGCACGCTGCGGGAGGACTTGTTGACTGGAATAAGATCTCTGGCTGGGGAGAATTTCGATTATGCGCTGGTGGAGTCTTCTGGAATCTCCGAGCCATTGCCGGTGGCAGAGACCTTCACGTTTGAAGATGATGACGGCGTTAGTCTAGGGCAAGTTGCGCACCTACAGAATATGATAACCGTTGTGGACTCCGAATCTTTCCTACGAGAGATGTCTTCCACAGAGGCATTGCGGGATCGCAACTGGCAAGAGGACGAGTCTGACACAAGGGGCATTGCTTCTTTACTGTTTGACCAGGTTGAGTTTGCTGACATCATTGTCCTCAACAAGGTTGACCTTGTGTCAGCGGAGCAGCGTGTGAAGATACGCACATTGATAGCCAAGATCAATGAAAAGGCCGAAATTATGGAGACATGTTTCTCAAAGCTTCCTCCCGCCAGTATCTTCAAGGTGGCCAGGTTCAATATAGTGCAAGCTGAGACAAATCCCAAATGGCTAGCAGAAGCAAGGCATGCGGAGCATGTGCCAGAATCTGTGGAGTATGGCATCCATTCCTTCATATTCCGGGCCAGGAGGCCATTTCATCCTCAAAGGCTACATTGCCTGATGAAGGCCGCTTGTGAGCGCAGTGGTCCGCTTCAGGCTCTTGTTCGCCTTAAGGGCATCGCTTGGCTGGCATGTTATCATAACGTACAGATGAGCGCCGCGTTGGCAGGCTGCAATTTTGTCATGAGTCTGGGCGCGCCCTGGTGGGCTGCAATGCCTCGCGCTGAGTGGCCGGCGGGGCTGGAAGAAGACATAAAGCCTTTGTGGGACGAAGCCTTTGGGGATCGCCAGCAGGAATTGGTTTGTATTGGGCTTCACATGGATGAGCAAGCTGTCAAGGCTGCTATGCAGGAGTGTTTGTTGACAGATGCAGAGCTTGATCTTGGGCCAGAAACATGGTCTGTGTGGAGCGATCCGTGGAATTGCGTAGACGTAGAGCAAGGATGCCATAGTCACAGCCACAGTCACGATGACCATGGTCATAATGGCCACGGTCACGACGGCCACGGTCATGCTGGCCATGGTTACAATGGCCACGTGCATGGACACGATGGCAACGGCTGCCAAGGCCACGACCATCCAGCTGAGGCAGGACATGGATCAGAAGCTGGCCACAGCGCGAATCATTGTGCAGAAGACCATGAACATGGCCTGTGTCTTGCAGGGGGGTAGATCCACTTAGGAAAGTTAGGTGCTGGCAACCTGTCAAGTTACACGAGTAGCTCAGCGCTTTCGCCAACCAACTTTGAAGTGCGACAGGTTGCTCCAGCATTTTTTGCAAGTTTTGTTTGCTCCGTAGATTTTCGCTGCCGGGCCAAACAGCACATCAATTGAATACTAGCTCAACGTTCTTTCGCAATCTGCTAGGATGAGTCGGATGAGTTACACGCGGCATTTGGCCCAGCAGCGTGTTGATAGAGGCTTTGCGTGCAGAAATGCCCAAACAGTGGGCGTGGCTGCCACGGTCCGGGCATGAGTGCTGACCAAATTTTGGTCCGCACATGTCCGCCGAGGGGTGTGATCCACGATCTCCGTTCGTAGCGAGAGATCGAGCCAACATCATTCTTTCCAGCTTGGTGTTTCGGGTTGCCCTGAAATCCATCTGCACAAGTTCCGGGAGGGAGTAACGAGGACCATTCTAAGCCCTGTTCATCGACAATCCGGCTCATGATTCTTTGTCAGTCTAGCCAAGACACTTTTGGGGCTCTCCCCATTCACAAACCTCTCGCGTTTGCCTTTGGAAGCAGTTCTGGTGCCATGGCTGTGCACTGAGATTCGAAAGGAGCTGCTCCTAGTTCCCCCAACTTGACATTGACCCTGCTGAAAATGGTTCAAGCACGTACATGGAGTTTGATTTTCTCACCTTCAAATGTTCAAGATCTCATAATGACTAGAATGAAGTTTTTGGAAACCTTGCAAGATAGGCGTTCCTGCGTTCTGTTTTCATAGCTGCTCTCCTGGAAGCAGTCAAAAATGGTAGAGACGCGAGCGACATGGGCGTGAGCGGCGGTAACTGGGATGATGACGAAGAGGTTGGCCGAAATGCTCCTTCGGTGACGTACGGCTTGGAGCCGCGACTTGGCCAGAGTGCGATCAAGCCCTTGCTGTGATCTGAGGTTGCATTACCTTTTCATATTTCAATGTGTAACAATCGAAATAGTTGCGCAACTAGATCAGTTTTCGGACTCAGAGAGATGGCATGTTGCCTGTGAGGTTCGTGTTTGATCCCGGTCCGCAACCTTCTCAGGCAGGGCAGATTGCCTGCCAGAATCGGACCTCTGCGGCAAAGGGGTTCAACAGTAGTCTTCCTGCCGCTTTCAGGAGGAACTGGCCCGTGATGCGGAACGCCGTGTGCGGCAGGACAAGCGCTTCCGGGAGGCTCCGTGCCCGTCATCACGTCTGACGACCTTCATGCGTTTCAGGAAAACCTCGAAGGGTCGGAGGGACTTAGCAGGTCGTAACAAGTAAGCTTATAAGACCTTGATAAGCGACAAGGTCACCCCAGTCATCCCTAGTCTCGACCTATTAGATAAGAACCCCAGGCCCTCAATCTCTGAATGCAACATGTGGAACTGAACAGTGTCGGAACAACTTGAAATGGTAAGTTGCATGAAGCCTTTTTGGCACAGCATCAGAGGCTTCAGGTGCTCTAGCTTCAAGACTTCTTATGGTGGTGTTATGATGATCATGTGTTTGAAAGCTTCTGGAGGGTTGCGAAAAGCCAGAGTGTAAGGGCTTCGAAGAGGGGGTACCAGTCGTCATTTGGAAGCAAACTTGCAAAAGACGGTGCTGCCGAGTATGATCACACATGTGGCCCCTGACCTTTCCAGGTGGTGCACTTCTGTAGCTTTATGTAATTTCCGCAGTTACTGAAGTCTTCATTCACACCGTCACAGTTTGCCGGGTGAGGGGCAAATCCGCAACACCCTGCAATTGCAAAACCTCAAACAAAAAATACGAAAGACCTGACGGTGTCAACCCCTGAACCCAAAAACCTTAAACGCTTGACTCAGTATCCCAAACCCCTTCACCGCCTAAAATTCGGGAACCCGTGTTTTCTTTTTTTGCTGTTTGGTCTTTTTTTGTTGTTGGGTCGCTTAAAGACGAGCTAGGCAGACCGGTAAGTGAGTGAACTCCCGTCCCCCGCCCAAACAGCAAAGAAAAACATGCCACTCGCCAAAACAGCAAAAACATAAACACGCCCCCCGCCCAAAGCACGACCCCGCCCAAACAGCAAAAAAACAACATGCCACCCGCCCAAATAGAAAAAGAAAAAAACAAAACGCCACCCGCCCAAACAGCAAAAAACAAACACGACCACCCGCAGAAACAGCAAAAAAAACCACGCCCGGAAGGGGCGGGCGGGGGCGTGTTTTTTTTGCTGTTTGGGCGGGGGCGTGTCTTATTTTGCTGTTTGGGCGTGGGCGGCATCCGCGCCCAAAGAGCAAAAAAAGAACACGCCCCCGCCCAAACACCAAAAACAATAAAACCCGAAAAACCCAAACAACAAAAAAGACCAGACAACAAAAAGATAAACACTCTTACCCTAATATTCGCACTGAAGCCTCGAATAGGCCCTGCGGAAGCAGAAAGCTGCCATCACTGCCATCCTCCAGGGCTGCTTGGAGAAGGCCTGGGCCTAAGCTTGACTGTTCGTGGTTGCGCGCTTGTGGGTTTTCGGGGTTTCGGGTTTGGGGTTGACAAGACTTTGTAGAGTCGGTAATTTTTTTGTTATTCTACCAACGGGGTAGTGAGGGTTATTGAAGGGCTTTAAGGGTTCCGGATTCGTGGTTTAGGCGGCCAGGCGTGTCAGGGCCTAGTTTCGGGTCCAGGGGACTGAAAGTGCTGTTCGGGTTTCAGTATGGCTTAGGATGGAGAGTTTCGGGTTCACAGGGGTCTCAGGGTCGAGCATATGTGTGATAGGATCAGATCGGAATGTGCGTGAGATACCAAATGTACACACCAAGATTCATAAACAGTCCATAAAGACTCTGATACGCACCCCACAAAACCATAAGTGAGATGCTGGCTCGTGTTCGCAGTACATTAAGAAACAGCTCGGATAGGCGATTCCTCACATGTATAGGTTTCAGGTTGGAAAAAAATTCATGGGACCGTACGGGGATGTAGGGAACATGTGTGTGTTTTTTCATTTAGGGTTTCTCAAGATAAGTGGGGTGCATAAAACTATCATAAAACGTAACAGTGTATTTTGTGGGATGCACATGGCACAAGCATTTCTCGAGACCATGGGTTCTTTATCACGAGTCCATATGTTTTTCAACAACATCGGGCAATTGCGAGGGATGATCAGGAGGCAGCTGAGAAACATGCTGTTTAATGTTTACAAAGATCAACCCTAAGGAGGTTTTCTATGGTTTTCTAGATGTGGCCATGGCTTTTCACCTTGAACCCCAAACCCCAAAGTCCCTTAAAAAGACCCTCAAGTCCATGAGTCTGAACCCTAAACCCTAAACCCTAAACCGTTAAACCCTAAACCCTAAACCTGTGTAACAGCTTCTGAACTTCCAAAGAATGCCCCAGGGCTACGCGCACCTTGCTGCGAATGGGGCCCCCTCCTACAGACCCCAATGTGGAGGTTTCCCAAAATTAGTGGTGCCCTTTTGGGGGTCCCTATAATAAGGACTATAGTATATTGGGGTCTATATTGGGGTCCCCTTATTTTGGGAAACTACCATGTAATGGAGTCCTCATTATTGAGCACACTTCAGAGAAGCACCTATAAGGGAGGCTCTCAAAAATGCACGTTTTTAAATTCCAGCAGGGAGCGCCATAATCCCCGTGTTATCCCCAGATATCCCCAAGACCTCTGTGATTATCCCAACCTGGAGAAAGCTCCGAAACCCTGAACCTTATGCATCTCTGTAGCCCCTGAAAAGAGGAGTCCTCTTTCTTGAGACGTTCTGTTGTCGAAATCTCTCTTTCGGGGTTCGCTGGGGACCCAGACAGGAACCATAAATCTGATCACAGATCCCCAGAGTGCTCAGGGTACCACTGTTTTGAGAGATCCTTAACTTTGATAACTCCCCCCCCAAAAAACCACATAGAACTCCTATATAACCCCTATATTGTAGTAGTTTCCATTTTCTTTTCCATTATCCCTATATAACCACAATATATACCCTATAATCCCTATAACACCTATAATCCCTGTAGTTTCCATTTTCTTTTCCATTATCCCCCCCAAAAATAACCCCGATATAACCCCTACATAACCCCTACATAACCCCAATATTGTAGTAGTTTCCATTTTCTTTTCCATTATCCCCAAAACCTTAAACCCTAAACCCTAAACCCAAAACAGTTTAGAGCCAGGTCAACTCTCAGCTGGAAAGGGGAGAGGCCGTTTGCCAAAAGGCCAGGAAAAGGTCCCAGAGGTTGGGTTCACAAAACCCTAGGGCCCTTTAAAGGGAACATGTGATATTACCCCCCAATATGGTTAGGGTTTAGGGTTTAGGGATGATACCCCGATAATGGAGAACCAAATGGAAAAGAACATGGAAAATTAAACGGAAACTGGGGATGATATTGGGGCTGGCCTGTTTGGGTTACAGGTCTAAATCCAGAGGATAATGTTTAGGACTGGTGCGCATTTTACCGCTAGTTTCAGATGTGGGGGTTAGGTAAGGGTCAGAGGTTCAAGATTTTGGGCTCAGTTTCTGGTCTGCAGGGGAAGGTCCGGGTACCGCATGGGGGGGTTGTCAAGGTTCTGTTTCCCTGCAATGGGCGCCTTTCATGCCGTGCCCCCTTACACTCAGTGTGCCTCTCGTCTTGGCAACCCCCGCAAGTATCGATCAGACAAGCCATCTGCCTTTTTAGGCGCCGATCGCAGATGCAGGCATGAAGTTTGGTTTCATGAGTCTGCAGGCTGTCCATGTGGACTGCGGTCTAGCAGTTGCTTCAAGAGAGCGAGTTGTCCAACAGCTCAAACGATTGGTTCCTTCTTTACGCCACACACTGAGAGGCGCACTTCCCATTGCTGAACCCGATGGAGTTTGAGGACCTGGAGGCTGGGGGTCTGCTGCGAGGCCTTAATGCAACCTCCCCAACCCCTAATAGAAATGATTCCCTGCATTAAACACTGGTGCCCAATGGGGGCATTCATCATGAATTTTTTTTTTGGGAGGGGGTGTGGTTCTTGAAAGCCTGGTCTGACTGAGTGCAGGGGGTACAGGGCTCCTGGCTTGAGGCCTTTGCTCGTCATGACCACTTCGTACTGGATCTCCGCATTGACAAGGCCTGATACCTGTGGTGCAGTTGAGCAGTAAGAAGGTCAAGCTGTCCGAGAGCAGTGGCAGAAGGGCGTAAGGTGAGAGACAGATGGCGCGGGGCACATGGATTTCAGAAGACAATCGGGGAGATGGACCAGGGAGCATACATGAGCATGCAAATGTACTCGACTGCTGTAATTAGCGTCAGGCTTGGCAAGGGGTGGGCAAGTGCAGGGACTGGGATGTTTTGAGAGTAAGGCGCTACGTTGTCTCGCGAAGCTGCCAGGTAGATGAAGCGCTTCAGGCCCTGGTGAGCTGTCTCTTCGGCACTGCAGGGGCCCTGGCCAGTAGGATCTGAGTTCCTTAAATCCCTATATTCCCCCAGTTTCCACTTCATTTTCCGTTTTCTTTTCCACTTGATTCTCCATTATGGGGGATGATATTCCCGAAGCCCGATGATGAGGCAGAGCAAGGTTGCTGCATGTTTTGCTGTCTCCGCACAACCCCCAGTATTCAATGTCTGTAGAGACACATGGAAAACTGACGGGAATGAGAGTGATGCAACCTAGTTCTGGGCCAATCGCGCTTCAGCATTGCTCAAAGTCTAAACGGACGCCAGGCCAAAAATGAGGGGCATTCCTCACAACAGGCGAATCTCCACAACCGTAAGATACTTGTCTAGTAACTTCATCCAGGCACTCATGCTGTTCTGAAACCCTTGCAGTCGGCTTCAAATTCCGGAGTCTAGTTGAATCAATGCCAAAGGTCTGGACCAACGTGCACGTCGATACTTGGCTCCACTATGGGCGTTGCTCAATACAGGGGTTCCCTAAGCACGTCACGCATGTAGAGGAACTCTAGCAGTTCATGGGAGTCCCTCTCAAGGATTCAAAGGGAAGTTTTGCCAAACTGCCACTACGTCCTGCTCGTGCCGAGATGCCTTGCTTATTGTGATACAGCCCATCTTTGGCTGGCTTGTTTAATGCAAAGGCTTGCATGGTTACAGCAGTTATTCCCTTATGAAACCCTAGCAAAGCTATAGGCGGGCCAAAAGCCCCAAAAACCTGTTTGAGTTATCTAGGCCTTACATTAGCTTGGCTTGAAGCGGCTGCCTTCAAAGTTCCTTCGACTTCATGTCCCTTTGCGTCCGTACAGCGCTTCAGCATCACCATCGACCCGGTCCTCCCCAACCCGCGGCACAGGAGAATGTCATGAAGGCAAAAGGCTTGGAAAGATACAACGAGGCCACTGCTGCTAAAAACATCTCAAAGCCTGCAAAGTGAATAGGGATCACATAGGGATCTGATGGGGACATACAGTACGTAATTAGTTTATAGAGGTCATTCTGGTAGGGATATATGTATATGTATATATATATATATCTCAATTGGTATATAGCTTTGTATAGGGGTCTGATGGGGATATACAAGTTCTAGCGCTTTGGACTCCGGCAGCGGAAGTGCTATGAACTCAGTCCTGCTCAAGTTAGGGGTCGAGGGGTAAAGTCATTCCGTGATAAACTTGAACACGCTGATGGACCATTGGTTTTGACATATCATCTAAGAATCTTTACAATGCCCCCACGGAACAGCATGAACTTCGTAATGAAGGCTTAAATAAACATGCCCATCCTGCTTCAGGCCCTCCAAGAAAGGATGAGGATTTTCGGCTGCAAATTTAGAGATCTGAGATCGGGAGTCATCATGATGACGTGCTGAGCCCGAGTGAGAGAGTCACCCTTTTCAGCATGTAAGGACCCTGGAGCACCACTTGAAAGATCGATCTCGCCAGCTCTCCAACTGTCGGTGCTTGGACCAAAAAATGGCACGTTCGACACTGCATTTGACATGTTGTTGTGGAATGGTTATGTTGGCCTCAGACTAAGATGTTGCCGCGGCTGTCGCTTGCAAAGCCGTTTTCAAGTGCCGCCGACTTGAATTTGCCGAATTTGCCTTTTCTGGACAGCTCTCAGGTATGCCTACTTCCTTGAAATCACACACCTGCGCCACTCGGAAGGGTTTCAGCATGTATGCATGACTCCTTGTTCAATTGTCTTGCAAGATGTGGCCGCCTGACTTCCCCAAAGTGGATGCAGAACTGCAGGCAACCAGCTTTACATCAAGCACCAGGAGGGCGATGAGGATTTCGAGCCTGTCGAGGCATATTTCTTCGATCCCACAGAATATTTGGAGGAGGAGAGGTGCAACACCACAACATCAGGCATGGGAACTTGAAGCATGAGCAGCATGACTTGAGTATTTCCCACAATGACCCGCACGCATACATAATCCCTCATAGGGCCCCTATGCCCTTAGTGTCCCGAAGGGTGCTGCTTCCTGAGCAGCCACTGCCACACCCTCTCTCCAAGCTAAGCCAGCGACGTGAGATGCGTTTGAACAGCTGACCGCATGTGGCTGACCGCATGTGTGGGCAAACAAGCTCACATATTCTTGGAAGGTCATCCTTACATATCCTGACTCGTAACACCTATCAACTTGAAAGTAAGGTCCCTAAGAGTACCTTCTTTGGAAATCAAAACGTTCAAGGAGCTCCGACAGCAGCTGAATGACAAGATCACTTTGAGTGCTTCTCAGCAGCAAGAACGTTGTGCGTAACTCAGCCTTGAAGGATCGTATGCAAGTTACGCGTAGGAGAGGCGGATGTAAAATCCTGTATCGGCTACGGAGCATAGGGGACAGGCATCTTCAACCCTTTTATAGGCTTTTGCGGCCCTAAGATGGCATACGCAGCAATGCCAAGATCCTTTCGGAACGGACTGGAAGCGGTGCCAACGCCGCGCCCGCCACTAGCAAAAACCCAGAGAGGTTCACAACCCCAAGATCCTGAATCCTAGGGCTCCCCATAAGTTACTCGTGAACAAGGGAGAGTGGGGAGTGGATCCCTGTCACCTTCCCTGGTGTATACGCATATACATAGATCTGTATTAATACATATATACACATATATCAATGCTTTGATTCTCCATATTCCCCCAGCACCAGACGGGCAATCGCAAGCTTAGCAGGTGAAGGTCTACAAAGATAAGCTGACGATTTGCACCTTGGCAGCATTGCAGATGGAAAGCAGACAGTTTCTAGGGAACTTGGGTATGCGTTGAGGGTATTTTCGGAGCCCCTAGGAGGAATGATGTAAGAACGTTATGGAGCCTCTTGTGCTTTTTGGTTTGGCTTCGCTTGTGCAACCATGAGAATGATCCTTCCTTTGTTCCTGGGGTAACAAGGAAGAAGTCTTGTGGACCTCCACTGTGATGTAGGCCTCTTGCAAGTGCTCCACAGACTGACGAGGATTTTGTGCAGGCTATGGTGCCAGATTTCAGGTGAATCCGCAGGCCCTACACCGAAGCTAGTCTCAAAGCAGCTTGCCAGTAGTAGGTGGTGGTGGTGGTGGTGGTGGTGGTGGTGGTGGTGGTGGTGGTGGTGGTGGTGAATGAGAAACCTTCTCTATATCAGGGACATGCTTAAGATGAGGGATCTCAAGCGCATCATCCTTCCCCTACGCCCTACACCCTAAACCCCATTCCTTTCTTGGGAGGGTGAGGGCTTAGGGTTTAGGGATTCGAAGTAGGTTTTAGAAAATAGGTTTTAAGGTTCAGAAAACCCCTACGCCTTGGGGGGAGTACAGGGTGTTCTTACATGGGCTTCGCTGTTTGGTGCCCTTGGTCTACCTAGCTTCCACTAGAGAAAAAAAAGCAGTGGTGGTGGTGGTGGTGGTGGTGGTGGTGAGGTCATCTTGTCGACGTTGCACAGAAGGCAGTGACGCAAATGCACGCCAAGTCTATCCGTGCTGTTTCCGCAGCAGGAGACGCAGGGCTCCAGCCAAACATGCATCTCAGGGAAACAACGGCATTTCAAAACTCAGGGTCATCTTATGTACCCCAAAAAGCTATCACTCTGCTCTGGGCTCTACAACAGGGGCCCTGGTGTGTGCACGCAATGCTTCAGAGGCCAGAGGCGGATTGCGGATCTGGAGCTCCAGCTGGAGACTGCGGAGGCAGAATATTGGGTCTATTATTGGGGTTATATAGGGATAATGGAAAAGAACATGGAAACTGCTATATTCTAATAAGGTATTCAATGGGGTTACAGTTCCCCTTAAGTACATCGAACATTGTTTGAAAGTTGCGGCGGAGCCGTTTGTTCCGGGTAGCTATAGTATTATGGTCCCCTTAAGTAGATAGAATATAGCTTTGGGTATATTATCATAAGAGCCCCAGTTACCCCGTGTACTATCTACTTAAGGGGGACTGTAACCCCAATGTATACCCTATTATAATGTAGTAGTTTCCATTTTCTTTTCCATTATCCCTATTTAGCCCAATAATATACCCAATATTCTATCTACTCAAGGGGGACTAGCCCTAAACCCTAAACCCTAAACCCTAAACCATTCTCTCAATTGGCCGATACGACACCCACCTGGGGAATGTAGCGACGCAGCGTAAGTTTCGAACTTTTGTATGCCTGGGCTATGCCGGTCAACCCGCGATTCGGCGCTGTGGGTGTGAGTCTGTAGTGTTTGGGTACCTTAGCCAGGTCTCGTCTCTCTACAGGCCTATAGGTAGCCGAATGTAGTTGAATGGTTGCGTTGAGGTTGCAAGTGTATTTGGGCGTTTAGAGCCTCCCGTCGGGCCTGCAATCCATGCCGTGGGTCGTTGTATAGTTTTGACTCTAGGCTTAGTCTTTGGGTCTTTGATGGCAGGCCTGCGCCTTAGT